ACACACACACACAGATTCGAGCACACTTGCTAGTGAAGAGGTGTGACACGGTGTCGACAGTAAGTCAACCTCGTATGTTTTGTGTTCTTTCTCATGCTGGACCTCATTCTGGGAGCTCCGTTATCACTGTCCCAGGATGATTGAAGCGACACATCCATAGGTACATGCATAGGTACATCCATCCATACATCATCTACATCCGTGGATTTGCCACAAGTGGGAACCATTTTCCATGATCATATGTCTCCAAACAAACACCCGGAGAGTACCACCGCATCCACCACCGATATGTCTGGTGGGACGGAGGTCTTGGTCCTGTGGCTCTGGAAACGCTCGGCGCAGATCGATGGCCAGCTTCACATTTGTCCGTTGGCGTTCCTAGGCACCGCTGTGGGTTGGCGGTTCCCATTCGGGATTGTTCTTCGTTCCGGCAACTGATGGTTTGCAAGAGACTGATGTTTGAGTCATCATCCAAAAACACTCGTAAATGGTGCGTCCCGCTTTGAGTAGATAGAGATGATAGAAGTCATGATTTGAAGCAAACTGGGCAATGGCGCCATATCGGGGAAAAAGAAGGAGACATGCATCACGGCGCTGTTTGTCGCCCTCTCCCAAGCCTGGGCCCGGCGTCAAGGGCATATCAGGTCCCCCTGAGTCAGTTCGTTGCTTCAGTGAACTCGAGAGCTTGGAACGTATTGAATACGTTCATTGGTTTTGAAGTTTGGAATTTATGGGATTTTAGATTGATAGAATCCCAAACTCACGGCAAAGAAAATCCATGCCCCACTCATCTGCAAAAGGTCACCGCCCCACCCAGGACCCAGCCCGCATCGTCCACCATCATCGCAGGCATCAAATGCCAGATTCGCACCAGTCGGAGCTTGGATCGTGCACAGCAAGCGACCTTGCTGGTGACCTTGGCCGAAGTGGCGATCATCTGGAGTCCACTGGTGCCGTTGCTCCGGTCGCAGTCGACGGGGCCGGCCGAAAGGATCCGCAAACCGTCTGGCGATGAGTCATCGCGAGGTCGAGCCGCGCCTGCGAAGAGTCGAACTGTACCAAAACCATCCAACACCATTGGATGTGGGTGCACGAGCGATGTTGATCTCGGTCGCTCTGCGTACTCCCATGAAGCAGTTCTGGGTTCGTTCGAAGTCTCCATGTCCGGTCGCATGTACGGCTGCCCGGCCGATGACAGAAAAAGCGTGCCCGAAGGGACATGTCGACATTCGCTGATGATTACACGTGTTTAAGTTTAATGTTTTTCTCAAACACTTTGAGAATGCTTAGCCGTATAATGCCGTATACGATATCACAACTTCCTTTGGCTGAAGATTCTTTGTCCACCTCAATCATGGGCCACTGCTGGCCTCATGCTCATCCATGTGGCCGCTTCCGAAGCCGGTGCTTCCGAAGTTGGTCCGCCACAACGAGGCTCTTGCTGCCGGCGGCGGCCATGGCGGCGGCCACCAACCTACTTCTGTTCCATCTTGGGCCCAGGGAGTTCCGGGCGACCGTCCCAAGCTTGGAAGCAGGAGAGACTGCCAGCATGTCTCGGAAGTACATGCAGGCCAGTGTTAGCATGCTGCTGATCTTTCAGAGGCCTGGCTGCAAGAAGTATGTGAATCATTGTGAGGAACAAAGGGATTATAGATTATACAATGATTTACAGCTAGAGCAGAGCATCTTTGAACATGTCAGCATGTATTTCAGCTTAGATACATCTTGCTTCCCAAGCCTCCGTGTGTCGGGGGTCTTCAAATAGAAAAGCACGGAATCCGGATTCTGTACGTATATTGTAGGTCTGTGGGAAATCACCGTGTGCTTTAGATCCTTTGTTCAGGATGTGGTTTGCCCTCACTTCCGGATTGTGTGGCACCTCATTGCTTGCGCTTGCTGCCGTGGTCTTTCTGAGCGACACACTTCTCGGTCTCAGCTGGCACTGCTCTCGATTGTGTGGCCGGGGTCGAGCCGGCGTAGCGTCCAGAGGCTCCGGAAGCTCAACTCTGGTGGCTTGGCTGCTTGCTTCCCGCAGGACTCGAAGGGAAGACTGAAGATTCAACCAGATTCAGCTAGTTTTGAAGCAGTGGGTGGCAATGTTTCTCACCCCAAAAAATCTGCAGGAGCCTCTACAGTTGGTAAGTAGTGAATTGGGAAATTCAATTTTGGTAGGGATCACCAGAGTTTTGTCATGTGTCTTCATCCATGACCGTGGCTGACTTCTCTGACACCATGGACCATGGAGTGAGTGACTTCTAAGTGATGTCAGGCAAAACACATGGATTATTCTAAGTGACCATGGATTGTTCTCGTGACCAGCACTTCTAAGTGACCATGGATTCTAAGACTTCTAACTTCTAAGTGAGTGACCATGGATTGTTCTCGTGGCTTCGCTCGTGCCACGTGCCGATGGCTGCGTGCCACACGCCACCTTGGGCTCCCTTTGGGCTCTGAGGAAGAAGCTATTGAGATCATGGAGCGGTGAAGATGTTGCAGCGCTTGACCATGCAATCGGTTGAAATTCTACCGGGATTTTCGGGCTCGAGTGGTCAGGCTCGTGTTCTGGTTTGTTTGTCTTATATTTGATATTGTTTTATTACATATTTAATGGCATATAACGGCATAAACGAATTTTCATGTATATACTTCCTGTGGATACATTTTCGGGCACTCCTATGTTGGTTCGTTCCTCCTGTGTCCAGGCAAAAGCCTCGCAGAAGGCCGTTGTGGTCGCCGATGCTCGTGCATCCGGCCGATACAGCAGAGACGATTCTGACGATGAAGGCCACTTTCAGGGAACCGCGTGCGCCAGTGGCACACGTGTCGGCTCCGGAAGCTGCTGGTTGGTGTGCCCCTTAAAGCAATACTGTTTGTTTTATTCAGTCTTAGTCTCAGATGACCGGTGGGGACCCAATGTGCTTGAAATTTCTGCCTTGTGTCACGTGAGATGTGCGGCCCAAATTGCCCCTGAAAACAACGCAGCTCGGCGAATGGATTGCGAACCTGCCCAGGCCAACCATGGCAA